CAACAAAATCCAGGGGTAGAGATATGGTTTTGTAGTTAAGAGCGCTAGCTGTTCTTTCAGAGGACCCAGGTTCAGGTCCCAGCACCCACATGGTAGCTTAAAACTGTCTATAACTCCAGTTCCAAGGGCTCTGGCTCCCTCTTTTGGCCTCCGTGGGCTCTGCACACATGTAGAGAACAGACACATACAAGCATGACACAATACACATAAAGTTAAAAATAAATAAATAAATCCTTAAAAAAAAACCCAAAGAACCCCAAACAAATTCTGCTTTTCACTTCAGGGTTAGCAGGAAGATAGAGACAGAGTACTGGGGACCCAGGGACTGTCTGGGAAGTATAATCACCTATAGCCTTCTTTGCATTATCTCCTCCCATACATAAATAGAAAGCAGGTGGTTTCTTTTTGTTGTTGTTGTTGTTTGACAGAGTTTCTCCATGTAGCCCTGGCTATCCTGGAACTCACTGTGTAGAGCAGGTTGGCTTTGAACTCAGAGATCCACCTGCTTCTACTCCCCAGTGCTAAGATTAAAGGTATGTGCCACCATGCCTTGCTTAAATAAATTTTTTTTGTTTGCTTGTTTGTTTTGTTTTTGAGACAGGATTTCTCTGTAGCTTTGGGGCCTGTCCCGGAACTAGCTTTTGTAGACCAGGCTGGCCTCGAACTCACAGAGATCTACCTGCCTCTACCTCCCCAGTGCTGGGATCAAAGGTGTGCACCACTATCTCCTGGCACTTAAATAATTTTTAAATTATTTTATTGGTATGGGTGTTTTGCCGGCATGTGTGTTTGTGCATCATTTTGCATGCGGTGCCCTAGGAAGCCAGAAAAGAATGTAGGGTCTCCTGAACTGGGGTTACAGACAGTTGTGAGCTGCCATATAGGTGCTGGGAATCGAACCTGGGTCCTCTGGAAGAACAGCCAGTGCCTCTAACTGCTGGGTCATCTCTCCAACCTTTGAAAGCAGAGGCTTCAGCTTGGGAACTAGCTTGGAATTATGCATGTGAGTCTGTCGGAAAGACTTTCTTCCCTCCTGTGGCTGGTATTTATGAAGTGTGAATCAGGCCAGCCTCCATTCAGGAGAGTGGCAAGACTCAGTTTCCCTCTGAGAAAAAGTGAATCTGAAATTCTCTGGAGCTTGTATGCTTTTACACGATTTTACTGTTTCTGGGTTTTTGGGTCTGGGCTCTTGGTACATTTTTATATCCAATTTTTAGTAGTTTAGAGAAAGAATGCCCATTCCCTTTGGGTAAAAAAACCCTATTCCTTTTTTAAGGTCTCTTTCTTTCTCTTTTTTAATAATGCATGTTTTACCCAATATATGTGTGTGTTTTACCCAATATATGGAGGTCAGAGAGGGATCATAGCCCCTGGAGCAGGCTGTGAGCCACTGTATGGATGCTGGGAACTGAATTTAGATTCTCGAGGAGAGCAACACTTCAAACTCTGTTTCTTGCCACCTCTTACCCCAAGGCCGTGAAGCTTTTTCATGGGCTCCCGATGTTTCTGCATCATTTACCTGTTGGCTCCACCTGCCCCCATTCCCCAGCTAGACCTCTCCCTCAGCCAGACGGGCCAATGTGGTGGAAATGTTGCTAAGTGTCTCAGTTCAACCTTATACTTCTAGCCCTCAGGAAGTTGAAACAAGAGCATGAGTTGAAGCTAACCTGGCTACATTGGGAGTTTCAGGCTAGCCCGAGATACAGTGTTTCAAAAAACAAACAAGCCGGGCTGTGGTGGCGCACGCCTTTAATCCCAGCACTCGGGAGGCAGAGGCAGGCGGATCTCTGTGAGTTCGAGACCAGCCTGGTCTACAAGAGCTAGTTCCAGGACAGGCTCCAAAACCACAGAGAAACCCTGTCTCGAAAAACCAACCAACCAACCAAACAAACAAACAAACAAAAAAATTTAAAAAGGGATGGTTCAGTCTTCCCATGCTTGTGCTGTAAACATAAGGACCTAAATTTGGAACCATGTCTATAATGAGCGCTGGGGGAGCAGTGGTAGTCGAGACAGGTGGATCCCTGGAGCTCACCGGTCAGCTCGCTAGCTGAAGGAATGGAGCGAGCTCCAGGTTCAATGGCAGACTCTGTCTCAAACAAATCGGATGAAGAAAATGATTCGGGATGACACTAAAGTCAACCTCTCGCTTCCACATGTGCATATGCATCACACACACACACACACACACACACACACACACACACACGTGCACGCACACACATACACACGTGCATGCACACACGCATACACACACACACCGCACACAAAGAAGATAAATCACTAGATGGTAAAGATACTGGGGCTCAGAGCTAGGAAGTGGGAGTCCAGTGAAGCGAGTAAAGGGGGGTGGGAGGGTTTGAGAGGAGCTGGGGATATACTCCATACTCCCCAAAGAGAAGGCATTATCTTTTGTCTCATTCTTGGGAGCATTATCATGGAGTCGTCCCTGTGTAGCAGGTAATGCTGAGCGCTTAAGAGAGCTCCCAGGAGGAAGGAGGTGGGATTGGGAAAACAAGAAGTCGATGATGATGGCCCTTGCCCAGAGCTGAGGAAGCCCTCGTACACACTGTTGAGTCCTTGGGGAACCTCTGCCAAGCCTAAAGAATGGGCTGCTGGTGAGGAGCAGGGGGCCAGGGAAGGCAGATGGCTCAATACCAAAAGCTGCCTCTCATCATTATGAAGTGTGGAGGAGGAACAACCTCCCTCTCAGAAATCTGCCAGGCTTTGCGCCAGAGGGAAGGATTTGAGCTCAGAATCTAACCATCATCAGGCCTGAGTATCCCCACCCCCTCCCATATGGGCTGAACCCAACACCCACTAATTCAATAAAGCGCACTCCCAGAGTTGACAGCCTCTCTCCAAGAGGGGCAGTTTGGGCTATGAGGGGTAGGAAAAGAGCAGTGGTATCTGGAAACAATTTATGGCGGTGGTGGCAGGGCATCGGGCTGTGTAACAGAAAAGAGTAGGGGTCACAATGGACAAAAGTGGAGTGAGGGACGGCAGGTAGATGAGAGACTGAAGGCCTGTGGCAGCCCAGAGTGCAGGTCTCTTTGGAAGGAGAGCCTGAGGGTTATGAATCAGGAGCCTGAGTTCTCCCTCCTTCCTGCTTTGGAAGCTTTGGCTACACACACTTGGCAGCTATTTTGTATAAATACTAGTCTCCAGTAGTATCCCTTGGGAAGGCACAAGAAACAGAATAAGAATGGGGGTGGGGTGCAGAAAGGGAGGAAAGCCATAGGCAGTACCTGTCTTAGAAGGATGTGATCTGGCCCTACTCCTCCAACCATCCTCTCCCTGTTTATAGCATGGTCCTATCAGTCTCCTTCTAAAGGTGCACAAGGCCATTTCTAGAGCCTTCATGGGCGCTTTCTCAAGATTCCTCCTGATTTTCATTCAAAAGGTAGCTTGGGCTAGGGAATACAGTTCAGTGGTAGAGAGCTTGCATAGTTGGACAAAAAGGAGGGTGGGACTAAAGAGAGTTGTTGGGGACTATAAATTGAATTTGAAGAAACAAGTTGAGATATCAGTCTCCCTGGGATCTAAAATTAGGAACCAAGAAAAAGAGGGTGATAGAACACTGGCTGTGGGCCTCCAAGTGTGCTTTACAGACGGGGTCACCCACAAGTGTGCTTTACAGATGGGGTCACCCACAGTACCATATCACATTTTGTTTTCCTAGGCCTTTTTTTTTTTTTTTTCTTCGAGACAGGGTTTCTCTGTAGCTTTGGAGCCTGTCCTGGCACTAGCTCTTGTAGACCAGGCTGGCCTCGAACTCACAGAGATCCGCCTGCCTCTGCCTCCCGAGTGCTGGGATTAAAGGCGTGCGCCACCACCGCCCGGCTTTCCTACGCCTTTTAAACAGTTTTTGAGTCATACAATAATGTTAACCTCTTTTCCGTTCGTCCGTCCTTCCCCCCCCCCCCCCCCTCTGAGACAGGGTTTCTCTTTGTAGCCCTGGCTGTCCTGGAGCTCACTCTGTAGACCAAGCTGGACTCAGACTCAAGAGATCTGCCTGCCTCTGCCTCCCAAGTGCTAGAATTAAAGGTGTGGGGCACCACTGCCTGGCTTCAGCTTTTTCCTTACTTTTCTTCATATATAAACAATATTCAGGATCAGGGGATTCTGGGAGCACTGTCAGATTTAGAGGTGAAATGGTGGTATGTGTGCTCCTAGTCACACCTCAGTGTCCCTTTTGGAACAGAAATGTGAAATGAGAACTATGGTGGCAACAGGGGCTTTGGAGAACAAAAACCGGGCTGGAGAGATGGCTCAGAGGTTAAGAGCATTGCCTGCTCTTCCAAAGGTCCTGAGTTCAATTCCCAGCAACCACATGGTGGCTCACAGTCATCTGTAAGGTAGTCTGGTGCCTTCTGGCCTTCAGGCATACACACAGACAGAATATTGTATACATAATAAATAAATAGCCGGGCGGTGGTGGTACACACCTTTAATCCCAGCACTTGGGAGGCAGAGGCAGGTGGGATCTCTGTGAGTTCGAGGCCAGCCTGGTCTACAAGAGCTAGTTCCAGGACAGGAACCAAAAAGCTACGGAGAAACCCTGTCTCGAAAAATAAAAATAAAAATAAATAAATAAATAGAACAAAAACCCAACAGAAGCCAGGTTAGAATACATAACACCCATGGGCCTACTTACTGGGGAATAACCAGAGTATCGGAATAATTGAAGGTATAGATAGATGGCTACAACATTGAGAGACAGAGGGTTTCTGCCCTGGGCACTGAGTCTCCTGGTACTAACTCCTCAGTTTTTTGGATAATCTCAGGGAAAAACCAACAGAACCAATTGATCCTTTTGCGTGTTTGGCCGGGGGTGGAGGTGGGGGGAGGGGAGGGTGGGGAGGGAGGGAGACGAGGGGAGGTGGTGTAGCTAAATCTAAAGGAACTACAATTCCCAGAAGGACTTGCCTCTTACTACGTTTCTATTGGTCGGTGCCTGTTACCACGGGCCAATAGTAAACGAGTTCTTTAAAAGTTGCCAAAATGGCGCTGCCTACGACGTAGAACTCGCTTTTCCGGTAGGCTTGAATTTGGGGAAATGGTGAATGAAAGAAGAGGGAGAATTACAGCGTCAGGGCTGAGGAAGGTAGAGGAATTGGGGAATGGGTACATATGGGAGTTGGGGTGGTAGTGGTGGGGGACACAGCGAAGGGCATAGTTAGGCAACCGGAGCGGGCTTAACCCCTTCCTATGCTCTTCAGGGCTTTGAGCCCCTTTGACACACCTTCTGTCCCAATTCAAGGAAAGATTGTTCAGAAGGGGAGAGGGTGACAGAATGCCACCTCCATTTCTACTCTTAGTTTTTCTGTCTTGCTTAAGTCTTCCCGAATTTCCCTTCTGTTTATCTCTCCCTTATTTTTTTCCTCAGAGCTCCATCTCCCTTCTGGCTCCCTTTTTAAACTCCCGCCTCGCCACCGGTCTCGCCTCCTTGGAGTGAAATCATGAAGGTGGTGAACCTGAAGCAAGCCATTTTGCAAGCCTGGAAAGAGCGATGGAGCGACTACCAGTGGGCAATCAACATGAAGAAATTCTTTCCAAGAGGAGCCACCTGGGACATCCTCAACCTAGCAGGTCTCCAGTGCAACGGGGAAGGACGGGTGGGAGGGGAGGCCCAGGAAAGATGTTACCACTCAGTCTTTCTTTAATTTCCCGTGCAGACGCGCTCCTGGAGCAGGCCATGATTGGACCGTCCCCAAATCCTCTCATCCTGTCCTACCTGAAGTACGCCATCAGTTCCCAGGTAAACCTTTCCATCCCCTGGCTTTTGGAGGTAAAACACCGGGAAAACAGTTTTCAATTTAGGCTTGCTTTCTTACAAAGTTAACCCTTCATTTTGTGATGAACATTGCATTTTTTTTTTGCTCTTATCGTATACATTTACAATTAAAGCTTTTCAGATTTATATAATTATGGGGACGGGCATGTGGAAGTAAGAAGACAATTCTGTGGCGTCGAATCTGTTCTTCCCACCTTCATGTAGATTCTCTGGGGATTTGAACTCATGTCAGCAGGGTTGCATGCCACGAACCTGTACCTGCCGAACCTTCTTAGCAGCCCCTTTGTTTCTATTTTTGAAACAGTGTCTTATGTAGCCCAGGTTGGACTTAAATTCCTGATTTTTCTGCTACTACTTCCCATAGTTTGGGAGTGGGTGGTTGCTGATAAACCAACCTGGGATCCAGACGTACTAGGCAAGCATTCCATATTTGAGTTGTAGCCCTACCCCAGTATTTCAGACAATAGCAGGCCCTGGGGATTTGGTCCTAGCACACAGGGAATGTAGAAAGTGATGCAGGCTTGCTAATCATTGATAGGATGGATTTGTGGTATGGTTAGGACAGAATATGGAAATGATGGAAGGAGGGCTTGGACACGATCCCTGCTCCTGTCTGAGCAGCCAGAGAAGGTGTCCTAGAGGAAGTGTTTTTTTTTTTTAAAGATTATTCATTTTATTACTTAATGCGTGTGGGTGTTTTTCCTACAAGTGTGTCATGTTCAGGCAGTGCCTGTGGAAGGCAGAGAAGGGTGTTGGGGTCCCTGGGACTGGAGTTACAGACAGTTGTGAGCTGCCATGTAGGTGCTGAGAATCAAACCCAGGTTCCTCTGGGAGAGCAAGTGCTCTTAACCTCTGAGCCACCTCTTCAGCCCCTAGGAAGTGATGTTTAAACAGAGGTCTTGGTAGTGAGTTGGAGTTAGCCACACAGATTAGTGAGGCAGAGGGGAGAAGTAGACACAGTCTGGGAGAGAGAAATCACAAGACATTCATTACTGAAAGTAAGGCTGGAAATAGAGTTCATGGGTAAAGCATTTGCCTAGCATGTACAAGGCCCTGGGTTTTCTTCCCGGTGCCACAGAACTGAAGGTCATGTGGCATATCTGCACCAGAGCTGGGCTTGGCACAGATGTTCTGTTTAGGTGTATCGTACACATACTTGATGTCATAGGGATTAAAACAGAAATGTAAGGCATATTGTCCAGAGGTGTGGATGTACCTGAGTTAGGAGAGTGCTTGCCCAGCATGAACAAGGTCCTGGGTTTTTTGTTTTTTTGAGACAGGGTCTCTCCACATAGCCCTGGCTGGCCTTGAATGCATAGAAATTGCCTCTGCCTCAAATTCTGAGATTGAAGGTGGGAACCAAGGTCCTGGCACTGTGTGTGTGAGCGTTATCCCAGCAGGAAGCAGGTCAGAAATTCAAGGTTATCTGTGGATACCTAATGAATTTAAGGTCAACCTCACAGAGAGAGGTATATGTTTTTTATTTGTTTTGCTTGTTTTTTGAGACTTGGTTTCTCTGTGGCTTTGGAGCCTGTCCTTTGTAGACCAGGTTGGCCTCTAACTCAGAGAGATCCGCCTGCCTCTGCCTCCCCAGTGCTGGGACTAAAGGCATGCGCCACCACTGCCTGGTTTGAGAGGTGTAAATTTTAAAATAACAGTAAAAGGCCAGACATACCTTCAATCCCAGCACCCAGGAAACAGAAAAGGTGAACTCTGTGTGAGTCTGAGGCCAGCCTGCTCTACATAGTAAATTCTAGAACAGCCAGGGCTACATGGAGAAATTGTCTCAAACAACAATAACAAACAAACAAACAAAAAAACCTCGAAGCAAAACAAAATGAAAAAATAGTAACAATGAAAATAACTGTATTTTCCAAACTAGTGAGGAAATTGACATCATTTTAGTTTGCCAATCTATAATGTCTTATAGTCTTGGTAGTGAGTTGGAGTTAGCCACACAGATTAGTGAGGCAGAGGGGAGAAGTAGACACAGTCTAGGATAGAGAAATCACATTTAATATTACTAAATTCTCTCACGAGCTTCTTCATTCAGTGCCTGCAATGAGGCTGCCTGTCTTGACATATAGTAAAAGTCTGATTTCACATATCAAACATTTGATTTGAAAAGGAATAATTTTTTTAGTGGTTTTTCAAGATAGGGTTTCTCTGTTTTGCTCTGGCTGTGCAGGAACTCATTCTGTAGACCAGGCTGGCCTTGAACTCAGAAATCTTCCAGGCCAGCCTCTACCTCTGCCTCTTCAGTGCTGGGTTTAAGGGCGTGTGCCACCAATGCCCTGCAAGGAAGAATTATTTTAAAAATAGATTTAACTTTTCTTTATTAGCATTGTTTGTGTGTAGCTGTGTACATGTGGGCATACATGCCGTCGTGCCCGTGTTGCAGTCAGAAGTCATGGGTTGACTTTTTTTTCCTTTCCACCATGAATTCTGGGGCTGGAGTTCAGGTTGTGTTATCGGGCATGCGCCACAAACACAATCTCCAAACCGTTCTGCCAGCATGCAGAAGAGGTATTTTTTAGTAAGCTTTCAGAGATGGATGTTCTTTGTTACTTTTTTTTTTCTTGATACAAGGTCTCTCCATCAAGCTCTGGCTGTCCTGAAACTCACTCTGTAGCCAGGCTGGCCTCAAATCAGAGACCTACCTATCTCTGCTTTCCAAGTGCTGGGACTAAAGGCGAACACCACCATGCCTAATTTGTTCTTTGTTTCTATACTAAACAGGTACTATGAGCACCATTATTGATGACTTTGTACAGTTACATCAATCCTTTGGTCTCTTGCACTTTTATTCCTAGTGCTGGGGATCCAGTCTAGGAACTCAGATGTACTAGGTGAGTGCTCTACCACCTGGATACACCTCAATGGCCCTTTTGTACTTTGAATGGATTTGTACTTTGAATGGATTTTTTTACCAAGGCATAATTGTTTGTTTTGAGACACTCTCCCCGTGTAGTCCAGGTTGGCCTCAGCCCTCCGGATGCTGGATTAAAGTTGTGCTGCAGCTTTGGAGCATTGCACACAATGTTCGCAGCATCATGAAATGGTCCTTTTGGAACTGTAGCTGAGGTACACAGATAATCTAGTTCTTGCCACATTTAACTATACTATATCTTTACGCATCATCAACTCTCTGGGACACTCTACTGCACAGCTATGAGAAAATGTGAGCAAGGATGTAAATTATACCTTAGTAATATTTTTAAATTCTTTGACAGCTGGGTCCTGGTGGTGATGCAAATCTTTAATCTCAGCTCTCAGGAGGCAGAGGCAGGCCAATCTCTAAGATCTAAGAGTTCAAGGCCAGCCTGGTCTACCGAGTGAGTTCCAACACAGATACACAGAAAAACATTGTCTCAAAAAACCAAAAAAAAAAAAAAATTCTTCTACTTTTATTTTGTGTGTGTGTGTGTGTGTGCGCGCGTGTGTGTGTGCCTGCACCATCACATACACATGGAAGTCAGAGGACAGCTTTTGGGAGTTGATTATCTCCTTCAACCAGTGGTCTTAGGTATCAAACTCGAGTGTCAGGCTTGGCAGCAGCAGCTGCCCTTATCTGCTGAATCATCTGCTCTGCCTTGTTTAACCACAGCTAGGGCTTCCAGTCCCTCTAAAATGGTGTTGGGAACTCTAAGGGTTCCTTGAATCATACCTTGAGTTCTGCTGGCTAGGACTTCAAGGAAAGTGGTGTATTTCAATTTGTTTGTTTTGAGACAGGATCTCACTCTTTTTAGTTCAGCCTGGCATTATACTCATGGCAATCCTTCTGCCTTAGCCTCCCAAACGTGGGGATCACATTTGTGAATCACCGTGACTCCGGTAGAAAAGTGTATTCGAGAAGTAGAGGTCAGGTAATACGGACCCCATGGCCATGTGAGGAGTGTGGACTTTATCCCACAGTGGTGAGTCGTCACCGAGGGAGTTTTAGAACGAGAATAGGGTTTTAAGGTTTTTATTGGCAGAGAGTGCCCAGTGGATAAAGAAGTATGAGAACTGGAGTTCAGATCCCCAGAACCCAAGGAAATGCTGGGTGAGCATGGCAGCCTGCCTGTAATTCCAGCGCTTGGAGGGCAGAACGGCCATGTCCTGAGCTAATAATAGGCCCGCTAGTTGAACCTTATCAGTGAGTATGGGTTCAGTTGGACGACCTGCATCAAGGAGTCAGGTGATGAGCTGTCGCTGGACCTCAGCCTCAGGCCTCCACATGCATGTGCACATACATGCCTGGATAGCAGCACACATAGGAACACACATGCATATGCACACACACCATGCACACACGAGGAAAACAATTTTGTATGTGTGTTATATAATGTTCCCTGCTTACTATAATTTAAGTTGCTTATAATTTGTTTGTACCATGGTAATCATTGGACCATGAAACACCCTTTTACACATTTACCTGCATATCTGGGAAAATATCTCTAGGATAAATACTTAAAAGTGTAACTTCTGGCTTGGTAATGTTGGCATGTACTTTTAATCCCGGCATTCTTTAGATGCCGGGATTAAATAGAGACGGGTATCTTTGAGTTTGAGGCCAGCCTAGTTTACATGATGAGTTCTAGGACCGCTAATGTTATTATACAGAGAAACCCCGTCTCAAAAAAACCACAAACAAAAAAAAAATTCTATCACTTTTTTGTTTTGATTTTTGAGACAGGGTTTCTCTTTGTAGCAGCTCTGGCTGTCCTGGAACTCGCTTTTCAGACCAGGTGACCTCAAACTCAATTGAGATGGTCCTGCCTCTACCTCCCAAGTGCTGAGATTAAAGGTGTATACCACCGCTACCCAGAAAATTGAAAAATTTTCTAGCACTTGCTTTGTTTTTATGGGGGGGCGGGTGCAGAGTCTCAGAACGTGGTGACCTAAGCTGCCTGGAACTTGCAGTGGTTTTCTTGCTTCATCCTCCAACTGCTGGGATTATAGGTGTGAGCTACTACACCTAACTTCTGCATTGTTTACTTATTTATTTTTGT